CGCCCCACAGCCGGCGGGTGGGGTCGGGCCTGAGTGCCCAGGATTGGGTCCCGTCGGGTCCCCAGGCCTGCACGGTGTGCCCGGGCAGCCGATCCAGGGCTCGTCTGGCCTCACGGCGTTTTCTCACGACCAGCCTGAACCTCTTGTGTGTCAACATCTGCCTGTCGTCTCCTGCCCTCCTGCCGCACCACCACTGTGAGGAGCCTGGGTCCATCTTCTCAGGTACCTCCCCACAGGCACTGGGGTCTGCGGTTGGGTCCCCTCCCCAAAGCCATCTCCCCTCACAGTGCTCCTGCCCCAACCGTCCTGGTGGCGTCTAACAGAATTGGTCCCACTGTCTCCTTGATGTGGTCTATCAAGTGCCAAGTAATGGGGATAATCAGTCTCCTTGATCTATGGTCTCTGCTCCAGGATGCTGTTGGCCCTCATTGTTGCCCGGGCCAGCTCAGCTCACTGCACACAAGGGCGCCAGGGCCTTCCCCACAGAGCTGCCCCCTTGCCAGGCGCTTCTGGTCTGTACTGGTGCCCAGGGCTTATCCTTCCCAGGGGCAGCAGTCCTCCATGATAACCAGGCTTTGTGACACAGAGACTTCCCTGGGTTGTTGTCAAAAGACTTCATCCACTTATCCTGATCAGGTGGTCTGTAATAGGCTCCCACCAAGTTGTCACCCTCACTGGCTTCTCTTCTGATCCTGACGTTCAAGCTGTGACCCAGCCCATTGCCCAGCCGATACAAGAGCTCCAGATACCCAAGATGCTGCTTCACAGAGAGGGCAGTATCATTGGTGCTTACATGGATAAGCAGTTGGGGGTAGAAGGCTGAAGGACAGGCAGGCCTTGGCAGTGTCCTTGCAACATGTTGGATCCAAGCCCCCAGCAAGCAAAAAAACCCAGACAACAAGTCAGGTTGGTAGATAGGGTCCTCCATCCCTTACAGCAGGGAGTCACCCGCTGCTGTCATCCACCACTTTCTCCTGGTAGTGCTGCTGTGTGGTTCAGGCTTGGCCAACTGTGGTGCTTCCCCAGATGAGCCTTTCTTCCCATCATCTGCTACCAGGCCACAGGACCCGTACTCCAGCTGCAGATCTGCAGGTGGAGAAGGAGCTGTCCTGCTGTTGCTAGAAGCCACAAGCTTCCAGCCTTCCAAAAAAAAAACACCCAACCACAACCTCTGGCTGCCCCTCCTTCTGTGCAGTTTGGGCTCTCACTTCCACAGGGTCTCTGGGAAGACCCTGACAGGGTCTCTGGGAAGACCCTGTCAAACTCTTTTTCGTCTTCCCTGGTCCTGCACAGTCTGCTGGACTCCTCCTTGAGCTCCTTAGATTGGCAACGACTCCTCACCACTGCACCAGCAAGCAAGGGCAGCCCCTCTGCAGGGTGGTCCCTGCAGCTTCAGGGCTCCCAAGCTGCAGCCCCCCATACTAGGTCTGGCTGGGATGGAGTTTCCTCACAGCAGCCCATATGATGCTGTGCTTAGGATTTGTGACCGAACAGTGCTGATAACACACCAATGTTTTAGCTATCGCTGAACAGTGTTTACACACTGTCAAGGCCTTCTCCGTGTCTCACTCTGCACTCCCAGCGAGTAGGCTGGAGGTAGGGAAGAGGCTGGGGCGGGGGGAGAGGTAGAACAGCTGACTTGAATTGACCAGAGAGATATTCCGTAGCACATAACGTCATCCTCAGCAGTAAAACCTGGGGGTGTAGTCTTTCCAAAGTAGCTGTTGCTCGGAGACTGGCTAGACATCAGCGGTCTGCTTGTGGGAGGTGGTGAGTGATTGTCTTTGTATGGGTTTTTTTTTTCCTCTTTCTTTCACTTACTAAACCATCTTTAACTCTACCCGCAACTTTTCTTGCTTTTGCTCTTCTGGTTCTTCCCCCACGGAGCAGTGAGCTAGCAGCTGGCTGGGGTCAACCCACCATGCCCAAGAAGCTCTGAGTAGAGGCCTCTGTTGAGCCAGGAGCAGGGTCCCCACTCAGTGCTGGGGACTGTCCCCTGCGGTGTGTCATTGCACCACCCCCTGCCTTGTGAACAACCCCCTCTCCGCCCTTTCTTGCAACATTACAAGTCTGCCCAAATTCCTCCCAATCCACATTCATTCAGCCCTTGTCATGTTGTGCTCATACCAAACGGACCTCTGCCACAGGCATCTCCTGCTCTGGGGTGAGGCTTCCTACTGCCTCTCCCGAGGTCTTTTGTCAAGACACCCCTTCACACCCCTGGGTGACTGTCCCTTGGTTCATGACCACTGTCACCACTGCATGCTTCATCCAGCATGCCGCCCTCACAGTATATGTTGATGGTCTGTGTTCGAGGACACCAGGGAAAGAAGCTTTTGCTCTGGAAAAAAAACAGTCTTTTGCAATGGCAAATGTTTATTTTCTGTGAAAGTCACAAGACCTTCTGTGATGGCACAGAGTTATTTGAAAACATGATCTGTAAAGCTTCAAACAAAAAGGCAGATTTGCACATGTTAATTTTATAGCAATTTACTGTCTTAGTGATGATTACTTTGAATCTTAGTCCTTGGAGTTGGCAAAACCAAGTAGATGTCTTGGGAGAGTCTCAAAGAAGTAGATGGAGTGGGGTTAGATTTAATGGGAAAAATACGGCAGACAATAGTTAGCTAAAATGTCTCAAGCAAGTACTTTTTTTTTTTTTTTAACAAAGCATGAATTTATTCAAGTATTCCAAGATGCAGTCTATACTCTCTAGATGCCCTTCTGATAGTGGTGCTTTGGGATTTTGTTGTTGTTTGTTTGCTTTTTTAAGGAAGAAAAGTATTTAGTCCACACGGTGGCTTTAATTTCCAATTGCTTCACAAACCAACGTACGTATTGCAGGTTAAATTGTTCTGAGCAAGCAGGTCACACGTCAAACAGAAATCCACGTAATTGCAGGAGAATCGGCTCCTAGTATTAGTAAAAGGGCCTTGGGCCCTGACTTTACAAAGGCTTACACAAGGCTACAAAGTTATTAATAATCTTAAGTATTTGCAGGGTGTGAGCTTCATTTATTCAAAATTGTCTATTATAGGTTTCACACTATTTCTGCAGTGAAATAATTAGACAGAAATGAAGGTAAATGTCCTACAGAGTGACTGCACCTAGCATCAGTGGTGCACCAAGCCCAGTATTTTGACTTCAATGTCGGTAAAAGGAGGTATTATTTAGGAAGAGCTCCTTAGTGTGGTTACTTCCCGGTACTTCCCCTGCATCTCTCATTGTATTAGGGATGCTGGAGGGTACATCCCTGTCTGTTTCCTTCAGTGTCCACTTATGGATGTGTTTGCCATCAATATGAATAATGCTTCCTTGAACCTACAGATAGTGTCCAAATCCCCAACCTCTGGTGGCCAGATGTTCTAGAAGTTCACAATCTGCTTTGCAGAAAAGCATTTTCTTTACATGTCTCAAAAATGATCTTCCAGTGTTTTCACGAGGTGCCTCCTTATTCTCGTACTGTGTGATTTGGTCAACAACAACTTTCTATCTTCCATGATTCTGTAAATCTTGATCAATTCTCTCCCCTGCCTTCTCTCTCCATATCAAACAGCCCCAGTTGCTATTGCTCTCACTGTAAGGCAGCGGTGCCATCCCTCCTCTGTGCCTTCCCTCACTCCTCCACATCCTTCTTGAGCTGTGAAGACACAAACTGATGCAGTAATTAATCTGAGGCTGCACCAGTGTTTTATATAGCAACCAAACGACTCCCTTTATCTTGTTCTCAGTATTCTTCCCGATAACATGTAATGTTTTGTGGGTTTTTTTGATTGCCACTGCACGTAAAGTTGATGAGACAATTTCAGAGAACTGTTCGAGAGCTCTGAGTTGTAACTGCTACTACTAAATTCAGCAAAAGGGAAGCTTAGAAATCCAACTCCTTTACAGTGCAGGAGCATGCGAAGGCATGTAGTTAGTTATTGAGAGTCCCATCACCTCTGTGAAGATCACCACTTTTAGATAGCTCCAAAAGCACCACCAACCCTAGTTAAGAATTAAATCTCAAATGCATTTGTAAGTGTCTTCAAAGAAAAATAACTGTAAGTGCACCATTTTAATTGGAAATACATGACCTGTAGAGTCATACTCAGTGGCTCAGAAAACCAGTGGGAATTGCCAGCTTTCCACAAAGTAACTATTCCTCACCTACTGAATCCTGGAATAGTTCAGTGAGAAAGGGAATCGCATTTCCTCTTTATCATTATCCCACGTCTGGAGAATAAAATTAGACTTCATAAAATGTTGGCTGATAACATAAGTCACCAAGTAGAATATTTATAAATATTATGAGATTTTCCCCTGGCAATATTTTAGAAATATTTTCAGACAAAGTCTAAAAGATGTATTCTATAAGCTAAATGCACTTTTATGTTTTGCAGTTACTTAAGTAATTTATAATCATAACAACTGTTTCCTATTATGAAGCCTGCTTAAATTTGAGAACCGTAATGATGACTTTGGAACTAACAGATTGCGGCCTAAGAACTGCACCCTTCGTACTGTGGATCTGGTCACTTAAAAATCGCTCTTGCAGTAAAACATTCCTTCCAAGATCATCCATGTGGACACCTCACGCACCTTTCTGCGTAATAAGGTCTCAAGCACACTAATCACAACAAGTTTGAGAAAATGCTAAATATAACTACTACTAATATAATAGAATCATAGAATGGTTTAGGTTGGAAGGGACCTTGAAGATCATCAAGTTCCAACCCCCCTGCCATGGGCAGGGGCACCTCCCACTAGACCAGGTTGCTCAAAGCCCCATCCAGCCTGGCCTTGAACACTTCCAGGGATGTGGCATCTACAACTTCCCTGGGCAACCTGTTCCAGTTCCTCACCACCTTCACAGTGAAGATTTCCTTCCTAATATCTATTCTAAATCTACCCTTTTCCAGTTTGAAGCCATTCCCCCTCATCCTATCACTACATGCCCTTGTAAAAAGGCCCTCTCCGGCCTTCTTGTAGGTGCCCTTCAGATACTGGAAGGCTGCTATAAGGT